GCTGGAAAGATCATCATCTCCTTAGGGGCCTGTGAGGGGAGAAATAGAAGGGAGCAGGTGTAAAGGAATGAAGGATGCACTGCTAACCGGGGAGTCCTAACCACACTGTCCTACTGCAGGTGACAACCTTTCTGTGACAGAAGAGGACAGAGGGGAGTCCCCAGCATCAGATCTACTTTATGTATTTATTTATTTATTGTCTGCATGCACAGCTTGCGGGATCTTAGTTCCCCGACCAGGGATTGAACCCAGGGCCACAGCAGTGAAAGCGCAGAGTCCTAACTTCTGAATCGCCAGGGAATTCTAATTTTTTTTTTTTTTTGGTCAGATCTCCTTTAAACCTCCAGTCCCTTTGAATCTCTGTGCTCCTCAGCACCAATGATGGGCATCTCCAGAGACTCCTCCAAATCCTGGCCATCTGTGATTCCACTCACACTTAGCCCCTTGCAAAGGGCCTGACATATAGAGAGCACTTAATACATGTTGAAATTTGAAGTATGGTGGCAAGGTGATCCCCACACTGATCTATAAGCCCCGGTCTCCTCTGGGACTTCTTCCTACACAGCATCCTTCCTGAGAAATACCAGAGACCAATAAATACCTGTGTGTCAGAGCTGGACATCTCTGGTGCCTTCTTTGCGACTCCAGGGCCTGTCCCTGGTCTCGCTATAATTTCAAGTCCCTAGTAGCACGTATCTCGGACACGTAATGTGGGTGCGGATACTGCAGTCTGTGACCTGCCAGGAGGTAAGTCTTGAGAATGTTCGCTCTGCCCTGCGTCCTTCCCTAGCCGAGAGCAGGAGGTGGAGGGAACAAGGATGGTTGCTGTTCCCTACAGGGCTGATTTACTCTGAACTATTCCTCACATTGTCTCTATGCTGCTGCCGACCTCCTTTGACACCCCTTTTATTTCACCCAGAATTCTGATCACCTCTAGACCCCCGGGGTGCCCCTCCTACTCTAGGTGCCCCATCTTCTAGGAGACCTACTTTTTAAAATTTTTTATTGAAATATAGTTGATTTACAGTTTTGTGTTAGTTTCAGGGGTATAGCAAAGCGATTCAGTTTTATATATATATATATTCTTTTTTTTTTACATTCTGTAATGTTATAGGTTATTACAAGATATTGAGTATAGTTCCCTGTGCTATACAGTAGGTCCTTGTTGTTTATCTATTTTATATATAGTAGTGTGTATATTTTAATCTCAAACTCCTAATTTATCCCTCCCCCACTCCCCTTTGGTAACCATAAGTTAGTTTTCTAACTCTATGAGTCTATTTACGTTTTGTAAATAAGTTCATTGGCATCATTTCTTTAGATTCCACATATAAGCGATATCGTATGATATTTGTCTTTCTCTGCAGTAGACATAAAGTTTTGCAGGCGTTTCCCATAGAAACGTTGTTAAGCCCTTAGTGATTCAATGGCATCTTTGATACGACGTCATATTGCACTGTAGTCACTACTCTTCTGACAGCCCCGCCCCACCCGGCCAGGCTTTACTTTATTCCTGCTAACTTGTTTCAGGGGCATCTGTGAGCACCTTTGGAGACCCCAACATGTTAGCTAGTTTACTCATGTCTGAATCGCAGTTGTGGATCAAGGTCTGATCTCTCCCATAGGGTCGAGAGCAAAGTATGGAGATACGGATGAGTATCTGCCTGAATTTGGGGAATTTTAACATAAACTACTTCACTGTTCTCTTACACATGGTCTTGGTGGTGATTTGGAACTAGAAATTAAGAGGTGCTATGAGGACTTGATACAGGAACCTTGAAGTCATGATATTATTATACATTACATATAAGGGGCAGCCAGAGGAGGAGGCCATTTCCAGTTTCTCACTTACCCTCTGGTCCTGTCCTGGTTCACAGTTACCAAAATAGTAACTCCCTCAGTTCAGGGAGCACCACCACCTCCAAAGAAAAACAACCGGTGTCCTTAAAAGAAGTATTAGTAAATATAGACTAGCCACTTAAAATGAGCATAAACAATGCATATACAAAAATAAGAGAAGCTATTGTGTAAAAAGAAAAAAACCTAGGGGATATAGGGAAAACTATATAGAAGGTCTAGGTGTAAAAATATATACTAGTCGGGAATTCCCTGGTGGTCCAGTGGTTAGGACTCGGCGCTTCCACTGCGGGGGTGGGGTGGGGGGTGGGGCACAGGTTTGATTCCTGGTCCGGGAATTAGGATCCCGCAAGCCAAGAGGCGCACCAAACAAAAACAAAACAAAACAAAACAAACAAACTATATATATATAGCTTTTTCTTTCAAAAGAAAACCCACATTAATGAGAATAAATATTGGGAGAGATACAACTGAAAAACAGTTAGTAAGCTGGAGTACTAGACTACAGAGCTCTCTTAGAATAAAAGATGGAAGGATAAAGAAATTGAAAACAGAGAAGAAAAGCCAAAAGAGATGAAAGAGAGACGTGCCCAATGTGGGTAATATGAATTTCATAAAAATAGAGAGGAGAAATAGTTACAGAAATAAAAGAGACAAATTCTTAGAATTAAAACATAAAGAGGCTCCTTAATATCCTACAGTAAGATCTGGACAAACCCATTTTAGATACAATATAACGAATTTTACAATAGCAGACAATGAGAGAATTCTAAAAGATTCTGGAGAGATACACTGACAGCAGACTTCCTAATGCCAACAATGGATGCAAAAAAGTCATTGGGATAATATTATTTAAAATATTAAAGAGAAAAAAGTCAAACTTAGAATTTAATACAACAGCTAAATGTTATTCAAAGTGATGATATAATAAAAACGTTCTCAAGCATACAAAGCTTCAGAAGGTTTGCCCACAAATACATTGAAAACACTTTTGGAGGAAGTATTCCGGTAAGAGAAAATTTCAGGAGGTGCCAAAAAGGTATGGGAAGTAAGACTGATCAAATACCTTGGTGAAGGAGAAGTATTTGAATGTATTTGAAAGCATGCTAAGGTGCTTATCTGGTTAGAGGGAAGATGGGGGAGGTACAGACAACACTTCATAAAAAAAAGATGATGGAATACATGCACCCCAATGTTCACTGCAGTACCATTTACAACACCCAGGATATGGAAGCAGCCTAAATGTCCATCGATGGATGAATGGATGCAGAAGCTGTGGTACATATATACAAAGGAATACTACTCAGCCATAAAAAAGAATGAAATAATGCCATTTGCAATGACATGGATGGACCTAGAGATTGTTATACTGAGTGAAGTAACTCATACAGAGAAAGACAAATATCACGATATCACTCGTGTGTGAAATCTAAAAAATGGTATAAATGAACTTATTTACAAAACAGAAATAGAGTCACAGATGTAGAAAACAGACTTATGGTTACTAAGGGGGAAGGAGGGAGATACATTGGGAGATTGGGATTGACATATACACACTAATATGTATAAAATAGATAACTAATAAGAACCTATTGTATAGCACAGGGAACTCAATACTCTGTAATGACCTATATGGGAAAAGAACCTAAAAAAGGGTTGATATGTATATGTATAACTGATTCACTTTGCTGTAGAACAGAAACGAACACAATATTGTAAATCAATGCCACTCAGTGTAGGAAAGAGCATCAGAGCAGGTGGTTTTTGTTTGTTTTTTTGTGCCAAAAAGCAGTCCATAGACTGCCTGCCCAAGAATCATCTAGGGAGCATGCTAAACACGCAGGTCCCCTGGCCCTACTTTGGAAAAGTCACTCTAACTCAGGTCAGGATGGAACCCAGGAATCTGCATTTTTAACACACTTCGCGGCTGATCCTCCTGTGTGGCCAGGTTTGGAAACACAGACTCAGATGATTTCTTAGATCCCTTCCAAGTTGAAAATCATTTATTCAATCACTTTTGACACATTGCCTTCAGATATTTGGTTAGACTTCTCTTTACCAGGATAGACAGTTAACTTTATATATATATATTTTACTTTAGACTAAATTCTGCCAGTGCCTCCCAATTAGAAGCCAAAAGTAAGGGTGATGCAGTCCACACAGGTCAACCTCCAGGCGGAGACACGGGCATAGGGGACATGGAGGGACTCATGGAGGTTACCCAGCACCCTCTGCCCTCCTCAGAAAGGTCCACTGGAACTCCTTATGGCTCTTTTTCACTCTAAACATCTCTAACAGTTATACAGTTTTCCTCACATAATGAAATAAAGTAATATTTTAAAACATGATTTAAAGATTTAAAAGATTTTTTCTACTGTGTAGCCAGTGTTTCCCTTTTAAAGTTTCTTAGTAAAAAAAAATTTTTTTTTTTTTTTGGTGGTACACGGGCCTCTCACTGCTGTGGCCTCTCTCGTTGTGGAGCACAGGCTCTGGATGCGCAGGCTCAGCGGCCATGGCTCACGGGCCCAGCCGCTCCGCGGCATGTGGGATCTTCCCCGACCGGGGCACGAACCCGTGTCCCCTGCATCGGCAGGCGGACTCTCAACTACTGCGCCACCAGGGAAGCCCTTTCCTTTTTTTTGGCCATGCCATGTAGTTTGCAGGATCTTAGCTCCCTGACCAGGGATTGAACCTATGTCCCCTGAAGTGGAAGCATAGAGTCCTAACCACTGGACAGCCAAGGAATCCCCAAATTTATTTTATTTTTTAACTCCAAATTGGTCCACAGAAACGTATAGGACGAGTAGGAGTCCCTATACCATGGATTAAGATAGAGGATTTGTTTGAGCTCAGCTATGCGGTGCTCTGATGGCCTTTCCTCTCCCTTCACAGGATACCTTCTTGCAGGATGTAGAAACAGTTAATCTAAGCCCCTCCCATCCCTTTGGCTTCCTGTGGACCAAGCCTCCCTGGTGCTCGTGGGCCCAATGAATTCTTCCATCTTCTCACCCAGGCTCTTTCCTCTACTTCTTTCCCCAGCAACAGCTACATTTAACGCAGAGAATTTCTCTGATTGGCTGAATACAGCAGGGGGCTCCCTCATCCTAGAATCTGTTTCTTCCTCTTTACCTTCCCCCTCTTCCTTTACCCTCCACACCGACTGGGACTTATTTGGTTAAAGCACCAAGGGACAATGGTCCTCAGTGGGGGGCTGGTCCTGGGACTCCACACCTTGATGACCCTCCTGAGCCCCCAGGAAGCTGGGGCCATCAAGGGTGAGTGCAGAGGGTGCTGGGTGAGGAGAGGAGATTAAGGGCGTGGGGTTACACGCCAGATGGTACAGAGAGTGAACAGTTCCTTTCCTCTGGTTTATGGGCAACTTCTGTTACCCGCATCCCTCTCACCTCTATCAGGTCTGTCCTGGACCTAAAATACAGGTGCAGCTCAGCCCAGCATCACATTCAGGTGCCTCCTCATTCCTCCCTCCTCTCTGAGACCCAAACCTCCGTCCTACTGCTGCCCAGCATCCTGATTTCTGTACCACTTCCTGGCTTCGGGCGAGCCCATTTTCTATTGCTGTATTTATCACCAGGTCAATAGGTAGCTGTTTATCTGTCTTTATCCTGCTCTAGACTTGAGCTCCTTGTGTGCGGGGTCCACAGCTGGTTTGTCTGTATTTCCTTGGGGCCTGGTATCGTGCTGGGCACATGGTGGTTTCTCATGATCATTGCACAAATAATTTCATAGAATTATAAAGCCATCTTATCAACGAACACCTAACTCCCAATTTCTAGAAAATTGAGCCTCAGTCATGGGAAGACACACATTTGATCATAATGCTCTGAGACAGAAGAGTTGTGACATGAACCCTGAACTTCTGACTCCTTTTCCACTGCTCTTTGCAATACCTTGGGCTGCCTTTTTCTATCCCTTCAGTCTCTGGTCACAAATCTTCTTACTCCTGCCCGCTATCACCTGTTTTCCCTCACATCCTCTTGCACTGCATCTCTGTGCCCAAAGCTCCATGGATGCTCTTCACCTTACTTATTTTCTCCTCATCCCACCCCTACTCACCTCTCATCTCACACACAGGACCTGGTAGCACAGCTGGGGCAGACCATCAGAGCCAAGATTTAACTCTGGGGATCCCAAGCCTGAGCTTAGGCAACCTCTCTTCTTCCCAACCCGGTATGCCGGGCTGCACCCATGACTCTGTGCTGGCCAGTGTGCAGGGGATGTGCCCATGCCCTCCATCCTCTCCCTCCCGTCCCTTGGCAACCCTTCTACTCTCCAAGGACCAGCTCAGCGTCAGAACGGGACTCTGCCCCCGCACAGAACCAAGGATGGGGCACAGCTCAGAGACTCAATACATCACATCTGATGGATGAGATTGATACCTTTTCTTTTCTCCCCCGACCCCTGAACTCACCCAATACAGCTGACCACATGGGCTCCTACGGACCAGCCTTCTACCAGTCCTATGATGGCTCGGGTCAGTTCACCTACGATTTCGATGGAGAGCAGCTGTTCTCTGTGGACCTGAAGAAGAGGGAGGCTGTGTGGCGTCTGCCTGAATTTGGCAACTTCGCCTACTTTGACCCGCAGCATGGGCTGGCCAGTATCACGATGATCAAAGCGCATCTGGACGTCTTGGTGGAGCGCTCGAACCGTACCAGAGCCGCCAACGGTACCGGGCCTTTCCTCTGTGCCCCCCTCCACTAAGCCCCTGGCAGGCAGGGGAGGCCCAGAGAAGCCTCCTCTCCCCCTCACAGGCCTCTATGGACTCCTGGGCTCCACTCTCGGAATCTGAGACTGTTGTGCTCAGGCCCTTTCCTTCCCAGGAGGTGCTGGATCTTCTCAGGTTCCTTCAGCAACCTCTTCCTCTTGAGAAATGACCCCTCCCGCTGTACTCCCCATCAGGGACCTGGCAGATACAGGACCCCCGGGGGCCCCCTCTGCCCTCCACAGTCTCTCATCCCTCTGTCCCCCTGCTTCTGTCCTGGTGTCACCATCCTAGACCATTCCCTGCTCTCGGAAAGCTAATAGGAGGAAACACCCTTCAATCCCAGCCCTGATAAGGCCCAGCTGGAGGGCTGAGCCTGTGGGATTCAGGGCCTGGTTCCTCCTAGTGCCCCCAAGAGTGACTGTGCTGCCCAAGTCTCACGTGGAGCTGGGCCAGCCCAACGTCCTCATCTGCGTCGTGGAGAACATCTTCCCCCCTGTCATCAATATCACCTGGCTGCGCAACGGGCAGACCATCACCGAGGGGGTGGCCCAGACCAGCTTCTATGCCCAGCCCAACCATCTGTTCCGGAAGTTCCACTACTTGCCCTTCGTGCCCTCGGTGGATGACTTCTATGACTGCAAGGTGGAGCACTGGGGCCTGGACCAGCCGCTCTTTAAGCACTGGGGTACGAAGCCCCCTCCCCAGGCCCCCCTTCTCACACCCGTGTGTCCTTCACTCTGGAATCCCTTTGCCCGACCCCCTGACCCTCTCTTTCTCTCCCAGAGCCCCAGGTGCCTACCCTGCTGCCTGACACCACAGAGACCCTGGTCTTCACCCTCGGCCTGGCCCTCGGCCTGGCCGGCTTCCTCGTGGGCGTCATCCTCATCATCACAGGCACATGCCTGTCCAGCACCCCCAGGTGCGCAGGACCCGGGAGTCTGGTGGGGAGGAAAGCAGATGACTCTGCATGGGACTAGGGTGGAGGATGAGAGATTCTGTGGGGAGGGGTGGGGTCAGGGACGAGTGGTAGGCAGGGAATAGAAGAGAAGAGGTGAGGCGAGGGTGTCAGGTTTGGGGGAGGTGGGCAGAGATGGGATCCCAGAAGTGTGAGCTGGGACAACATTGGTCATATGGTTTTTGCTACTTTAGGTAATGGCCCTTCTGAGAGAAACAGGTAGGGGAGACACCCTACGGCTTCCTGGCAAGTGTCTGACAGCCCTTGGATGCTCAGTGTCAGAGTCTACCACATTCATCCCCACCGTGCTGACTTTGAAAGGGATCAACCTCTGTCCTACAGGTCTCCTCCTTTTTGGCTCCTGTACTCAAGGCAGGGACTTGTGGGGCACCAAGGAGTTCCCTTTCCCACCCCCAAAACACACACACACACACACACACACACACACACACACACACACACTTTCTTGCTCTACCCAAAGCCCTGGCTAGCCGCAGTAAAATTTTAAACAGTGTTTGCACTGTATTCATTTTACCAGGTCTTGGCCAATTCTTTCAGGGTGTAAGGGATGCTGGGATCTGGAAGTGGGGACTTCTGGGGATGACTACTGAGCATGACCACCTGCTACTGGGGATTGACAATCATTCCCGGGCCAGTCTAGCTACGTCTTGCTCCATTTGACTCATCAGTTTGGGTCCCCTTGTGTGTCACGTGTGAACGGACTGTTTCACATGGACATCATGAAATCAACATCCTGAATTCGGATTTGCCCCAAAAGGGATGCAGAGTATCCTGTTCATTGCAACTCCCCGCAACCAATGACAGTTCTACAGGGCACCAGGAGAGGAAACGTTCATGGAAATTTCAGTCTTGTCCAGATTTACTCTGTCATGAAGAGGCCATTGGTATCTAGCCATGATCTACAATGTCATCTCCTTTTTCTACATTCCCTAGAGTCCCAAGCATGACAAAGAGGCCCAAGGCTTGGGTAGGATGGCCATATCTTCTGCCTGGGGTCAATCATATCAGGTAGGAGGGTAGCAGTGTAGATCATCAAGGTATCTGGTAAGAGGAAGGTCTAGGAGAGATCCACCTGAATGCTCTCTAAATCTGTGGCCCGGAAGGTTTTAGTTTACTGTGAACAAAATTTAAAATGCACACAAAGTGGTAACTAACTATACAAAGTAGTTTATGTCAAGTACCAAGTGAGTGGTACAGATTGATGGTTTTCAAACTGGAATACAGAGAAGAGTCACTTGAGAGCCTTTTAAAAAGTACAGGCTTCTCCCAGATCAACTGAATTAGAATCTCGGGGCTGGGGAGAGTGGTGACGGGGAGTCTGTAATATTTTAACATGCTCTAGATGGTGCCGATGAAGCCATCCTGGACCCAGGCTGTGGTCTGGGAACAGGGACCCATGGACAGAGTCTGGTGCTATTGGAGGTCATTGGAAGAGAGGATCCCTGAGGTCTGAGTAGTCCAGGAGGGCTTTCTGGAAAACCTGTTTTTTTTAGGGCATGAAAGTTGAGGAAGGGACTTCCCAGTGGTTAAAACTCTGTGCTTCTAATGCAGGGGCACAGGTTCAATCCCCGGTTAGGGAACGTGCTGTTCCACACAGCCAAAAAAGAAAAAGTTGAGCAAGATACAGGTGAGTAGGGGCAAGATGGGGGTTGGAACTGGGAGCATTTGGTCCCGGAAAAGAGAGAAACCAAGAGATTATGGAGACTCTGTGGATTTCCCAAGAGAGAATAAATGGGGGGAAATCGATGGCCAGAAGAGGACTCGGATGGAAGTGGGAGAAGATGGTTCTAATCCAGGTTTTTGCTTGCCAGTCACAGAAACCCTATTAAAATGGTTATAGACAAAAGGAGAGGGTATTTACGATAAAGACACAAGAGTGGTATTCAGAACCCAAGGGTGGGTTTGAGCCAGGCCCTGCAAGGAACAGAACTCAGAGTGGAAGAGCCAGCAGAACGCAGAGCAGTCCGTCTTGCTCTCTCTCTCTGGGCCATAGGGTCCCTGTTTTCTAGATCCCTTGGTACGTCAGCCATATTCTCTCCCTATGGACTGACTGTCCTTTTCAGCCGACATGTCAACCCTATAGGTCCTGTGTTTGTATGTCACCTCAGCTCTAGCCGCCCACAGACTGTGTCTCCCAGTCACAATTTTAAATCATTGAAAAAACAAACGACTGCCCAAACTTGGGGAAAGTATCCACCCCAGCCCAATGTACTGTGACCAGGGGACCAAGATCCCATAGTACAAACATGGTGGTGGCTGGCACCCACCTCTGGGGTGAGGAGTCGGGTTGTTCTCAGAGAAAGATCTCAGAAGACACCGCAAGAGATGTCTGTCCCCATAGTGCCCTGATCTCTGCTGATCTTTTACTTAAAACTTAACTTGATGCATCCTTGGAAACGTGTTTCTCTCATCTCTGTCCTAATGTTTAATAAAGTCATAAAAGTGTCCTGTCTTGAACAGACTGGTGGTTGCCAAGGCGGGGCTGTTGGGGAAGGGATGGAGTGGGAGTTTGGGGTTAGCAGATGTAAACTCTTATATATAGAATAGATAAACAACAAGGTCCTACTGTAGAGCACAGAGGACTATATTCAATATCCTATGATAAACCATAATGGAAAAGAATATTAAAAAAAGAATGTATATATATGTACAACTGAATCACTTTGCTGTACAGCAGTAATTAGCACAACATTGTTAATTAACTATACTTAAGGGAAAAAAAAGTGTCCTCTTTTGACCAGAAGTGTGCTTTTTTTCACTATGCATATATTACCCAGAAATCACTAGAAACAATTTGGAAGGAATATGGAGCTATTCCAAAACTTTTAGGTTTATGTATCTGCCTTCACACTCACATTTTTTTTCTTCTAGTCTCAAAGTAAATTATCTCTCATTAAAAAAAAAATTGTCCTGCATTCCTTTTTCTAAATAAATTTATTTATTTTAAACTTATTTTTAATTTTTGGCTGCGCTGGGTCTTCATTGCTGTGTGCGGGCTTTCTCCAGTTGCAGCGAGCGGGAGTTACTCTTCGTTGTGGTGCACAGGCTTACCGCGGTGGCTTCTCTTGCTGTGAGCACAACCTCTAGGTGCGCAGGCTTCAGTAGTTGTGGTACACGGGCCTTGGTTGTTGTGGCTCGCGGGCTCTAGAAAGCAGGCTCAGTATTTGTGGTGCACAGGCTTAGCTGCTCCGCGGCATGTGGGATCTTCCCAGACCAGGGATCGAGCCCATGTCCCCTACACAGGCAGGCGGATTCTTAACCACTGAGCCACCAGGGAAGCCCTGTTCTGCATTCTTTTTTTTTTTTTTTTTTTTTTTTGGGTTCGCGGGCCTCTCACTGTTGTGGCCTCTCTCATTGTGGAGCACAGGCTCCGGACGCGCAGGCTCAGCGGCCATGGCTCAAGGGCCCAGCCGCTCCGCGGCATGTGGGATCTTCCCGGACCGGGGGGATCTTCCCGGACCGGGGCACGAACCCGTGTCCCCTGCATCGGCAGGCGGACTCTCAACCACTGCGCTACCAGGGAAGCCCTGTTCTGCACTCTTGATCTGACTTCTTTCAGTCTCTTTTAGAATAGACAGTCACCTTCTCTTCTGTATTTTCAAACTCTCCCCCTTTGCAGAGTTCCCTCTCCACAGATAATAAACATATCATCACTCTCGTATACTGAGAACATTAAATCTCCTCTCTGTCCTATACCCATACCTCACAAGCTCCTCCCATCACTTTCTCCGAAAGAGGATTCTGCATGGGCTGCATCCACATCCCCTCTTCCAATCTACTTTCTCTCTTAAAATTTTAATTTTTAACAACGTAATTTTATCCACATAGTTTAGAGAATCCAATAGTTCTACCAGATTTGCGTAAAAAACAATTCCAGTCTCTAGCCCCTTCTCCTATCATGTTCTTGTCCCCAGAGTTGATAAGTTTTCAACTGTTTTTAACTAATTCTGTTAATACTGACCTTCTGTCTCTAAATAGTATTCTTGCTTTGCTATATCTTGATTTTTCAGCTTCAGGCCTTTTCTCTTTACTTCCTACTATGGAAGAAGAGGATTTAAACCACACACATGCACCCCTTCCTCTAATATAGTTATATTGTAATTTTGGCTAGGTTGGTGTTCAGTGTTTATATTATTATGATATTATGAAGGGTATTCATAGCCAAACTACAGAGTAAACCATGCCTGCTCTTCCTTTCCTAGACAACTTTGTGTTTTCCCTGGGATGAATAATCGGCCTGTTTTCTCTTTGCTTGGTTTTCTTGGTACCCGTCATTAACGAATCACAAATTTCCTTACAATACAATCAGCTTCCCTGGGTATTCTGTCCATTTTACTGTCAGATAAAACTCCCAGAACCTTGTGTCGGCTTCGATCTTAACTAGTTGCTCTCAGTGAGAGAGTTGTCATCCTGGGACCACCATTTACCATCCTTGTCAGGATTTACCTGTCCTCTGTGTTGGACATTCTGTTTCTTATATCCAGCTAGAAGAATGACCAGGTTTTAGAATTACTGACGAGATGTTACTTCTCCCAACCATTCATGCAACTCCTCCTGTTCAGACTTTCTCACTTAGGATAGACTCTCAATTCCTTACTGGCTAAGGCTCTCCAACCTCACCCCTCCTCCGGCCTTCCTTCTTTCATTAAGTTACAGCCATACTCTCTTTCCTTAGACTCCTCCTGCCTGTGATCTTAACATCAATGCTTCCAACTCATCATTCATTCACAACACATGTGGTAAAAATTCAGAGGCTTCCCTGATCAGCTTTGCTAAATAAACCACCCATCTCCAGTCCTTTTTGATCACAAGACTCCATTTATCTTTGTGGACAGACATCTCTCCTGGAATGGAGGCCCTCCTCTCAGGCTTTCTTTCCTCCTTCGGGGGCGTGACCCGTCATGTAGAAACGTCACTTCCTCCCTTCTCTCCATCTCTCCCCTCATCTCCAGTCAGTTCCATTAACTGTGGTTTGGTTGTCTTGTGGTTTGATTCTACCTCCTGTGGAGGCTCCAAATTTGAGTAAACCTCCTCTTCCCAGGAGAAGACTCCCTGGCATTTCTGCCTCCCGGAGACTTTCTGTTGCCCCGTCCCTAGAGCCCCAGCGCCACTCCTGAGACTCGGTTGGATTCCCACTTTTCCTTCATTCCTTCCCTCAGGCCTGCAGTATATGCTCTGCTCCAGGTACAAGTTCTTACCATAATGCCTGGAACACGGCAGTTACTCAGTAACTGACCGAAGAGTAAGATATAGTCTGCTCAGCTCTCAGATTCCTTGATGACACACCCAAATGAAGAAACATTTAAAAACTTTCTGCTGTTATTGACATGATTGCTTTTATGATTTACTATTAGCTTTCATGTATTGAGCACTTCCAATGTGCCAAGCACTAAACACTTACATCTGTCAAAGCTATGAGTTTGCACACCTACCATGGTGTTTCCTAAACTGTTCCATGGAGCTCAAATGTTCTGAAGGATGTTAATAACTTAATTAAAAACAAATCAATGTAAGTAACCTTTTTTTTCCTAAAACATATTTTAATATGGGTAAGGAAATGCCAAACGTAAGTATGCAGGTTTTAGTATATAGCAATCTGCCTTTCAAAAATGACATGCCATGTTTGGTAATAGCAAAGGATTGGAAACATGTCCAACAAGAATGGAAAAGCTGAAAGAGCTACAGTACCTCCATGAGGAGGAGAAACATTAAGCTGTTAGAAAGAATGAAGAAGATCTCTTTAAGCTGATATGGAGGGGTCCCTAGGATGCAGTGGAAAAATGCAAGACACAAAAGAATGTACATACTGTGTGCTACCTTGGGGTAAGAAAGAGGGAAGATATATGTTTGCAGAAAGCCACACTGAAAAGATAAACCAGAAATTGTTAAAAAAGTGGTAGGGGGGAAGAGCAGAGTTGAGGGAATGCGTTTGAGGCAACAGGGATAAAAGTGAATATTGACTTTTGAAATATACAAATGCTTTACAATTTTTATAAACATGAAACAAAAAGCCCTAAAATTTAAAACAAACATAAACAACGGAACCTAGAGAGAAGACTTATTTTAACTCCTATTAGAAAACAGTACTGTATATTCTTAGTGGACTATATTCTAAGGATAAAAAGTAGTACTAAAAGCATTGATAGTCATTCAGTAGTTTTATTATTAGTAATAATATTGTATTGTTATTTTGAAACTATGTTTATATATATTATAGGATAAAGCAACTCGGGAATGATGTAATGTATTTGGGAACCATGATTTTAGCGTATAAAAGGAAAGAAAAAAGTAGCTGAATTAAAACCCTAATATTAAATTTGAATTAGAAACATCAATTTAACCTAATGATTTATAGATATATATATTTTCTAGCTCTAGCAAATGAAAGAACCTGGAAGCAATGGTCCTTCAGGAGCGATGGGCATCCTTAGAGCACAGATTGTGGTTTCCTAATACCATTACCCAATAAAAGGAACTGGAGTTTCTTAGAGAAGTGACTTATTTCAAGTCTAGGCTAGGGAAAACACAAAGCAAGCTTGTTTCAGAAAACAAGAAAGTGCTCAAAGACTACCAGAGTCATGTCAAAAGAAAAGAGCACCCATCTTGAAGGGGCTCCCACTGGCCAAATTTGGGACAATTTGAGGATTAAAAAAAATTACTATAATCAACTTAAACACATTGAATGGATAAAAATGCATGAGTCCCTAATAATAATCAAATAAAGATAAAGCAAACAAGCAACAACAACAAGACTTTTCTATCACCACTGGGTGTAATATTCTATTTCCAACAAAGAAAATTGGTACTTAAACAAAACAAGTGGGCTTCCCTCGTGGCGCAGTGGTTGAGAATCTGCCTGCTAATGCAGGGGACACAGGTTCGAGCCCTGGTCTGGGAAGATCCCACATGCCGCGGAGCAACTAGGCCCGTGAGCCACAACTACTGAGCCCGTGCATCTGGAGCCTGTGCTCTGCAACAAGAGAGGCCGCGATAGTGAGAGGCCCGCGCACCATGATGAAGAGTGGCACCCGCTTGCCACAACTAGAGAAAGCCCTCGCACAGAAACGAAGGCCCAACACAGCCATAAATAAATAAATAAATAAAAAATCACACACACACAAAACAAACAAACAAACAAAAAAAAAACAAGCAGATA